GGTCCCTATAATCCAGAAGACTAAGGATGAGCAGCAACGGGTCGATGGGCAGCTGCTCCAGGTGAAAAGGCTGCAGGTCCACCGCAACGGACGCCGCCATCTTGACGCCTGCCTCGTCGGTCCTCCTCTCCTGGTATAGGCTCCTCCCTAGTTCGCCTGGGTTGGGCTGGTCTGAGTCTAGAGGAGGCTTCCTGCCCCTCACGCTGGTTTGTTATCAAAACACACGCCAGCGGGTGTGTGTGTGTGTTGGTTTCGAAAGCATGGGCTCGAATACAAAGGGCAACATTGCCTTGAAGGAGGCGCTGGGGGAGGTGTCGACCAATGTTCCCTCTAAGGCGTGGAGTCTTCTGAGCAAAAATTCTACTTTGTGAGCTACGGGCATTAAAGCTGTGAGCGGGCGATTTGGCTACGGCATCAATTAGTTTGCTATGGAGCCCTCCTCCCTGAGCTTAATTCTGTTTTGTGAGCTACTGGCATTAAAGTTGCGAGCGAGCGATTTGGCTCCTGCATCAATCAGTTTGCTCTGGAGCCCTCCTCCCTGAGCTTAGACAAAAACGTGTGAGCTGGAGGCTAGAAAACTGTGAGCTGGCTCACACTAACTCAGCTTAGAGGGAACACTGGTGTCGACTGTCGCGCTTTACGGGGGCACCGGATACCCGAGTTAACCAAATCCTGTACAAACTTTCATGGAAGTAATCCCATTCAGACCAGCTGAGTTTATGCTGAAACCCAAGTAAAAATAGTATGGCAGCCATGACTAGTAGCGATGCCACCTTTTCTTCTGGCGGGGGTACTGTGTCTTGAGACGCTGCCAACGACTCCCCCACCCCACTTCCGCCCGGGCGATTCTGTATTGGCTTTTCCCTCCGTTGTTTTATGAAACCTACGTTGGAACAAATTCCCCTCTGCCTTGCTTGCTGCTGTCACTGCCTTTGATAATCGGATTTTATGGTGCCCTCCACATTGCATGCCGCTTTCGCTTTCTTTGATCATCAGATTTTATGGTACCTTCTGCATAGATTTGGCAGTTCAGGGGTGACTTTGCAGTCAGTACTGCCTTGCCCCAAGGTATTTGAATGTGGTTTTGAGTTGCACTTTTTCCTCCCAGGGTGATTCTGCATCTAGCATTAGCTCCACATTTTCTCAACTGGGAGGGGAAAGTGCAGCTCAAAACCACATTCAGATACCTCGGGGCAACACGGTACTGACTGCAAAGTCACCCCTGAAGAGCCATAAATCTATGCAGAAGGTACCATAAAATCCAATGATCAAAGAAAGCAAAAGCTGCATGCAGTGTGGAGGGTACCATCAAATCTGATGATCACAGAAAGTGAAAGCAGCATGCAGCAGAGGGAAATTTCTGTTCCAACATGGGTTTCATAAAACAATGGCAGGAAAAGCCAATGCAGAATCACCCCCAGTCGAATAAATGTGGAGTGAATGCTAGATGTGTGGAATTGCCCAGTGTCTTTAGGTTTTCCATTAGTTCTGAAAATCTTGTCTTGGACACATTTCAGATTGGTACAGATTATCAACATGGCATCTTCTACACCAGTTCAGTGGGGAACTCTGTGTAATGATTTATTTATTTATTTAAATTTATAAATTTATAACCCGCCCTCCCCGCAAACGGGCTCAGGGCGGCGTACGGATGGGGCCAATGCCCAATACATAAAACATTAAAACTGCATTTAAAAACATTCAATACAACTTAAGTGCTCACCATAATATCTAACAAGGGAACAGATGACGTCATCAGGATAGTATCCTTAGTGGCCACAGCTCCACGCAGTACCACCGTTTTAGCGCTCACGGCGAGTTGGTAATAATGGGCTAGGACAGATGGTAACAGTCGTGGCAGCTCCTACTCAAACACCTGGCGGAAGAGCTCCGTTTTACAGGCCCTGTGGAACTGTGCAAGGTCCCGCAGGGCCAGGATCTCCTCTGGGAGCTCATTCCACCAGATAGGAGCCGCCACCGAAAAAGCCCTAGCCCTAGTCACCACTAATCTGGCCTCCTTGGGACCTGGAACCACCAGGAGATGTTTAGTCCCGGCTCGTTGGGAAACATATGGGGAAAGGCGGTCCCGTAGGTATGTCGGACCCTGGCCATCTAGGGCTTTAAAGGTAAGAACCAGCACTTTGAAGCAAATCCGGTATGCTATCGGCAGCCAGTGCAGTGCTTTCAGCACAGGCTGGATGTGTGCCCCCCTAGGAAGGCCCATCAACAGCCTGGCTGCAGCATTCTGCACCAGCTGCAGCTTCCGGATTTGCGACAAAGGCAGCCCCATGTAGAGAGCGTTACAATGGTCTAGCCTTGAGGTGACCGTCGCATGGATCACTGTGGCTAGGTCGTCACGGTCGAGAAAGGGAACCAATTGCCGAGCCAGCCAAAGATGGTAAAAGGCCTCTTTGGCAGTGGCTGCTACCTGGGCTTCCATAGATAATGTGGAGTCCAGGAGCACCCCCAAACTCCTAACCGCTCCTCGAAGGTCGGGAACGGAAGCCCCAACCTCAAACCACATCAACTCAAACCCAGGACCTCCGTATTTGCCAGGTTTACCCTCAGCCGACTCAGTCAGAGCCAACCAGCCACGGCTTGCAACGCCGGGTGCAGATCTTCTGGGCTGGAGTCCGACTGGCCACCCAACAAAAGATAGAGATGGGTGTCATCCGCATATTGATGACACCCAAGCCCAAACCTCCAGGCAATCTGGGCAAGGGGGCGCATGTAGATGTTAAACAACATCGGGGATAATACAGCCCCTTGGGGCACCCCGCATTCAAGGGGGTGTCTCTGGGACTGCTGTTACCCTATCACCACCCTTTGTCCCCGACCTTGTAGGAAAGAGGCAAGCCATTGAAGGGCAAGTCCCTGAATCCCCGCGTCGGCGAGGCGGTGGGTCAGCAACTGGTGGTTGACCGTATCAAATGCGGCCGACAGATCTAATAACAACAGTGCCGCCACACCGCCCTGATCCAAATGCCTATGGAGGTCGTCAGTCAGAACGACCAGTACCGTCTCCGTCCCATGCCCCGGACGGAAGCCGGGCTGGAAAGGATCTAGGACGGAAGCGTCATCCAGAAAGCCCTAGATGATAGCCTTAATCTGTTGATAAACACGCTCAAATGAAATAGTATATAATGGCAAAGATTAAAAACATAAGGTCTGAACATCAGACTGCACAGAACATCAACATGTAGTAATTTCACATACAAAGGCCATGGCTTCCTTCTTATGGTAACTGCACCGACAAATGTGCCACTTTATTGCAACTCTTTGTTGATGACACACACATCCAGAGACACTGGTAATTTTATAACAGGTTGGTTTGCAAATCTAATTTTCTGACTTAAATGTTTATTTGCATATTTATCTATCTATAAATTCTAGCTTATATATAATTTTCTTTGTTAGATTGTTATATCATTGAAGATTTTGTTATGTGAGTGCAGCTGAGAAGGAATCCATGGCCTGCTTTATAAACTGTCAGCAAGAACTCAACATATGAGGTAGAAATGTTTTTTTTTACTTCTTGTAGAAGATGTTTTTAGAAAATCAGTAGTATTTTTATTACTTATATTTATTATAACCATTTGGCTTTCTCTTCTTTTTTTGTTATACTTTCAGAAAGCAACATCTGGTATGGATTTATACATATTAACTTCTGAATGTGTGTATTTTTGAAATAGTATATGTTATTGACGACTGAGAAATGTCCCAGGGGCCGAAATGTGTGGGTCTTGTTGGTTGCTTGATATATTCATCAACTGTGTATGTGAAATCATCAACTTTGTATGTGAAATTACTACAGTCTATGTAAAGCTCATATTGATGTTCTATGCAGTCTTATATTCAGACCTTATGATCTTAATCTTTGCCATCATGTACACCATACTTTATACACACACACACATATGTATATAAAATATATTTCATTTGAGGTAGCTTGACCCTTGCAACATTATCGTTATACTTTGGGTTGCATTTGTTTTCCCCTTTTTCTTCATTTGTAGCCCTAATGTGTGCCACACGCATTTTCTGTACTCCCCTCAATGTTAAGTTTGCCAAAAACAGTTATTCCTTTCTCATCAAAATATCAGGTTACCCAAATGTTTCAGAGTTTAAGAGATCTCTTTTTTTCATTTTTTAAAATTATTTTCTTTAAAAAAAGTGGGATACAGAAGAGAAGAAGGGGTAGGGGGGAAATATAAATTAATCAGATTTGTCAAATATCGGGTTGTTAAAAAGGTAAAGGTTCCCTTGCTCGAAAGCCAGTCGAGTCCAACTCTAGGGTTGCGGTGCTCATCTCCGTTTCAAAGCCGAAGAGCTAGCGCTGTTCGAAGACGTTTCCGTGGTCATGTGGCCGGCATGACTAAACACCAAGGCGCACAGAACGCCGTTACCTTCCCACCGAAGTGGTACCTATTTACCTACTTGCAATTTCTTGCTTTCAAACTGCTAGGTTGGCAGGAGCTGGAATTAGAGACGGGAGCTCACTCTGTCATGTCACTCAGGTCTCAAACTGCTGAACTACTGACCTTCCACAGCCTGCAGTTCAGTGTCTTAACCATTTGAGCCACCGCAGCTCCTGTTACGAACAGGTAAAATCAGATGTGTTACCAAATGTATTACATATTTCAAATATAGAAGCAGACAATAAAACATCAATATTACAGAATTTTGGGATAGATTCTCTCTTTAAAGAATAAACAAAAACTTTCCTAAAGTAAGCAATAATTTATTAACAATAAAAGAGATTACTTCTTTAACAGGTGAATGAACTTCTATGCTAAAATTAAATCATTTTATTCTTACTAATTATTTATATACTACTGGAGTACAGAATAAAATATTGAAACTATAATCAATATCTTCACCTTTAATATGATATTCAGATAATTGCAAAACTAAAAAAAGTTTTTCCCATAGTATGAGTAATAAGCTTGCCATTTCTGCTGAAATTCTTTCAATGGTCTTTTGTTTATATAATTGGTTAGTTTTGGCAACGTTGCATACTCAGCTAGTTTTTCTTTTCAGATCTCTATTGTAGGACAGTCTTCTGTCTTCCATGTCATTGCAAATATTATTCTGGCAGCTGTCTACATATATCTCAGTAG